AAAATTGACATGTGAGATATTAAATTGATACAATTTTAAAAAGTTGGCGATGTAATAAAATTTCACCCAAATGTAATTAAGTAAAAACAAATATATAATGATGAAGTTGTCTTACACGCGCGCACACGTACCAACTTAGCACTATATATACCAAACCTCTCATCTCTTCATATGTATATTTTCCTAGCTAGTTAATTTCATGTGATAGTAACAATAATAATATCAATACAACCAAAATAAAAGAAAAATAATAATAATTTAAAGATATATATAGTTCATAACATTCCATTTTAATGGAAAGAGTAGCCTCCTTTCTCATCACCATCATTACCTTCATCACCATCCATGGCGTAACAGCCAGCTCGAAAGTCGATCCGATAGTGCCGGCCATGTTCATTTTTGGCGACTCGTATGTCGATTCCGGAAACAACAACAACATAAATACGAGCACCCTCGACCAGGCTAATTTCCCGCCATATGGAGAGAACTTTACCGGGAGTGTCCCCACCGGGAGATTCACGAACGGTCAAACCATACCCGATTTCATCGGTATTATTGATTAACTAAACAATATACGTTTTTTTAGATGAATCTTGAATATTTGTTCTTTTCTAATATGCAAAATTATGCACTAATATAGAGCACAATTATGCACTAATTTAGATGAATCTTGAATCTTGAATTGTATTAATGTATTAAAAAAAAAAAAATAGCCTATAATTGATTTTTGCTTGACAATCAACGGATAGCTATAGAAATTGACAAAATTGTGCTAGCATCATTCACATATTTGTTCTTTTCTAATATGCACAATTATTATTATTATTATTATTATTATTATTATTATTATTATTATTATTATTATTATTTAATTTTCCAAAATGATAGATAATATTATAAAATAAAATGCACAAATGTGCGAATACACAGCAGCCAACGGCTGAATACACAGCAGCCAACAGCTGAAAAAGTGGGAGGACAAGTCACAAGACCGCCTAGAATCCCGGCTAGCAACGCTAGAATAAAAATACTCGCAACTAAACTAATCAACTACATCAACAACTAAAAAAACTAAAAAGGTCCCAACGGGGTAATATCCGAGTGTCGGATATTTATGACTTGGGGTTTTTTATTGCGAGGTGATATATAGCTAAGCGGGCAGGATTTAATAGTTTAACTCCAGTTTATCTAAGTACGACACAAAATGGGAAGAAATATGAAGGAAAGAACTTCGCATCCGGTGGAGCTGGTGCCTTAAAAGAAACTTTGAAAGGCTATGTAAGTTTTTCTCTATCTCCATTAATATTTCATTTCATTTTATATTATGTTCCATTATAATTACATTGGTATACAAAAAATTGGAAGAATTATAAAGGAATTCGATTTTTTTTTTTTCTTAATAAACTTTTTAATTTGTTTCACTGAATTTCGAGAAATTTTAAGTCTGTAGGTAGGATTAGGATTCTAATTTCGTATATATTGTTTCTTATTAAAAAGTCCAAATAATAGAAAAAAAAAATGTCTCCAAATTTAAAAAATAAATAAACAAATTGAAATGAATATTTTTAAATTCTTAAAGATTTCTTTCTTAAAATATCAAACATGCATAGTAATTTGCACCACACGAATATAGCATTTTTTTTTTATTTTTTTTCTCCCCTGAATTAATATATATATATATATTAATTAATCTTTACAAAAAAATTCAGGTGATTGATCTGCAAACGCAGATAAAATACTTCAAAAC